TTCTAGACCAACCCCCTGCTCAAGCAGGAGACCCCTATGCCATTTGGGACAAATGGCTGTCCAATCTCTTCTTTAAAAAAAACTCTCCAGTGATAAGAGCATTCACAACATTTGAAGACAAGCCAAGTCAGGAAATTTCTCCTTATTTCTAAATTGGATCTCTCCTTGATCAGTCGATTAGACCTGCTGCTTAGGATACCCGAGGATGGAGTAAGAGAATGTGACTAATTTGAACGAATTACTTTTCTAGGGCCAGTAGTAGACCATCCACCAAGAGCCTTGGTGGCGCAGCAGACTAAAGTGCTGTTAAGTAACAACAGCTGCCTGCAATTACTGCAAGTTCAAATCTCACCAGGCTCAAGGTTGACTCAGCCTTCCATCCTTCCGAGGTAGGTAAAATGAGGACCCGGTTTGTGGGGGCAATAAGCTGACTTTGTATAAAAAAGAACACCGCTTGGGGGTGGCCGAAAGCCCTACTAAGCAGGTATATACAAAAGTATGAAGGCTATTGCTTAACGCATTGTAAGCTGCCCTGAGTTTCCGGAGAAGGGCGACATATAAATCAAACCAAATGAATAAATAAATAAATAAATAAATCCAAGAGTAGCGGAGGAACTAGTGGAGGTGATTACAGAACCATCCTCAAGGTAATCTTGGAAGCCTCCTGGTGAGGTCCCAGAAGATGGGAGGAGAGCAAATGTGAATCTAGGAAAATGTAAATCTGCCAGATAGATGTCTGAACTGGGCCAGTTTCTCAATCAATGTATTGGTGAACACTTCGATAAGTACACCCACAGCAGCTTGCCTAGGGGTAGGGTTGCCAGAATAACTTGTGCCAGACTAATCTTATCTCCTTGATTGACAGATTTACGAGCTTAGTCAATAAGCAGAATACTGTAACATATTTTTGTAGACTGCTTCGGGATACTCTTTTGCATAAAATGGTAAATAAAATATTGGCCAGATGATACCACCGTATGAATGATGGTTGCTACCACATACGGAATGATGGCTGCTACCACATACAGAAGGGACGCAGTGGCTCAGTGGCTAAGACGCTGAGCTTGTCGATCAGAAAGGTCAGTAGTTCGGCAGTTCGAACCCCTAGTGCCTCATTCCGGAGTGAGCCCCCGTTACTTGTCCCAGCTTCTGCCAACCTAGCAGTTCGAAAGCACGTAAAACTTGCAAGTAGAAAAATAGGGACCACCTTTGGTGGGAAAGTAACAGCGTTCCATGCGTTTGGCGTTGAGTCATGCCAGCCACATGACCACGGAGATGTCTTTGGACAGCGCTGGCTCTCCGGCTTTGAAACGGAGAGGAGCACCGCCCCCAAGAGTCAGGAACGACTAGCACATATGTGCGAGGGGAACCTTTACCTTTACCTTACCACATACTGGCTAGACATATGTCAGAAATGCAGAAGGGGACACCACAATGAGTTAGGGTAGGAATAAACCACCAAATTCTTTGTTTTTTTCACCAACAGCAGAAGACTAGGTACCAGTCCTGCAGGTTTTACCTCGCTAGTCATAGCTGACTGTAGGAGGCAGTGCTTACCTCTGTTTCCTTATGCCAGGTGTCTCCAACCTTGACCGCTGTAAGTCTTGTGGACTTCAACTCCCAGAATTCCCTAGCCAGCCACGGGGAATTCTGGGAGTTGAAGTCCACAAGTCTTAAAGTTGCCAAGTTTGGAGATCCGTGATTTACGCCATTGAACCAGCGTTGTACAAAGACATTTCTACGGTCATGTGGCCACCGTGAAATCCCGCCGCAGCTCAAAGCAGACGGCAAACACACAAAATGCTGTTACTGTCCCACCAAACTGGTATTTATTTATCTATTTATTTATAGATATCAGTACCATTGCAGAAATAGCAATAGCACTTATATACCGCTTCATAGTGTTTTACAGCCCTCTGTAAATGGTTTACAGAGTCAGCATATTACCCTCAACAATCTGGATTGTCATTTTAATGACCTCGGAAAGATGGAAGTCTGAGTCAAGCTTGAGCCAGTCAGGATCGAACTCCTGGCAGACGGCAGATATTGCTTTCTAACTACCACGTCACCAGAGATAGATGATAGATAGCAATAGCACTTAGACTTATATATCGCTTCACAGTGCTTTCCAGTCCTCTCTAAGCGGTTTACAGAGTCAGCCTCTTGCCCCCAACAATCTGGGTCCTCATTTTAACGACCTCGGAAGGACGGAAGGCTGAGTCAACCTGGAGCCTGGTGAGATTTGAACTGCCAAATTGCAGTCAGCCGGCAGTCAGCAGGTTAGGTTATTTTCTGCAACACCCGTAAGAAAAGGAGCAAACCAGCAGGGTGCTGCAATGACAGCTTAGGTGACAACATTTGATAGTGTTGTTTTGTCTGCCTATTTCAATTGAGTTGTTGCTCAGAACGCTTTCTGCCCAGAATAAAATATTTGGAATATTCTGCCGTAGGGAAACAATGGGGATTTGCTTGCTTTTCTTTGTTTAAGACAATTATGTAGGAGATTACAGTCCCTGGCGAAAGCTGCATTTTCCTAGCTACCAAATACCATCCAGGCTCATGTTTTGTTTTGTTTTGAAAATAACAACGAAAGCAATTGTTATATACTCCTGTTGTATACAGATTACCCTCCACTTACGATCATTTGTTTAGTGACTGTTTGAAGTTACAACAGCACTGAAAAAAAGTGGCTTACGACCATTTTTTTTAAACGCTTACAACCGTCACAGCATCCCCAGGGTCACGTGATCCTGTCAGACGGTCGCAAATGGGGACCACATGACGCTTGGCGACTGACACATATTTACGATAGTTGCCGAGGGGTGGATCCCCTTTTGCAACCTTCTGATAAGCAAAGTCAGTGTGGATGCCAGATTCACTTAACAACGGTGACAAGAAAGGTCATAAAGTGGGGTAAAATTAACAAATGTCTGATTTAGCAATAGAAATTTGGGGGCTCAATTGTGGTCGTATGTCGAGGACTGTTATGTTATGCGTTAGCAACAGAAATTTTGGGCTCAATTGTGATCGTAAAATGACAAGGAAGGTCATAAAAAGGGGTAAAATTTACAAATGTCTGACTTAGCAATAGAAATTTGGGGGGGCTCAATTGTGGTCGTATGTCGAGGGCTACCTGAATTTACAGAACGTCTCACTTAGCAACAGAAACTTGGGGCTCAATTGCGATCGTAAAATGACAAGGAAGGTTGTAAAATGGGGTAAGATTAACAAATGTCTCACTTAGCAACAGAAATTTGGGGGCTCAATTACGGTCGTATGTCAAGGACTACCTGAATTTACAGAGCGTCTCACTTAGCAACAGAAACTTGGGGCTCAATTGTGATCGTAAAGTGAAAAGGAAGGTTGTAAAATGGGGTAAGATTAACAAATGTCTCACTTAGCAACAGAAACTTGGGGGCTCAATTGCGGTCATATGTCGAGGACTACCTGAATTTACAGTACGTCTTAATTTAGCAACAGAAACTTGGGGCTCAGTTGTGATCATAAAATGACAAAGGTGGTCGTAAAATGGGGTAAAATTAACAAGTGTCTGACTTAGCAACAGAAATTTTGGGCTCAATTGTGGTCGTATGACGAGGACTACCTGTATTTACAGTGCTCTTTACCTCTAGGGCAGAGGGCTAGACTAGAAGACCTCCAAGGCCCCTTCCAAACAACTTCTTATTCCTTATTCCTTATAATTAAGGGGCCTTCTTTTAAGACCCTTTCGGCAGCTTTTTGCCTCACACCGGCTTGAGGTGACTTTCCCCCGCACCTTACAGTAACCAGCGCTACCGCCCGGCCTCCCGATTCCCTTTGGCAGAACTGCCGGGAATCCGAGCCGACCGGGTCCCCCCCCCCACCCTTTCCTCTACCCAGATCTAACGGGGGAAAGTCGGTCAGAGGCCCAAGATCCCGGCTTCTGATTCCCGCATGACAGTGGAAGGATCCCCCTCCTTTCCTCCCCTCCCCCCCCATCTCCTTTCATGTTCATACACGGAGGCTAAAGAGCCTCCGCCGTCAGTTTGCACTTCTATAGGCCACAAAAAAAAAAAAAAAAACAACCCAGGAGCGCTAATCCTATTAAAACGCTCGTGTCATTTCCTTTTTTTTTCTTTTGAAAAGGGGGGGGGGTCCGTCGGTGCGCGCGTGGGATGAAAGCCCCCTCGCCATTGGCCGACCCCAGAGCGAAAGAGGGCGGGGCTTGGGAACGAAGCTTATATAAAAGCGGGCACCCAGGCGAGGGGCACGGAGAGAGCCGGCGGCTCGGGACGAGCTGGCTGGCTGAAGGGGAAGGGGGGGGGGTTTTCATCGGTCAATTCCTCTCATTTCCTCAGCTTCTTCCCTCAGTTTTCTCCCCAACACCGTCTGCCTTTTTTCCCCTCACCTTTCCCGGGAGCAAAGCGCCAAGTCATGTCGGAGCGCCCGTGAGGAAGACCCCCCCAACCCCCCCAACACCCCCGCTCGCCATGCCAGCACCGCCACTACTACAGCCTCGACCCCGGGCGTGGAAAGCCGAGCCGGCGGGGCCGCCCTCCCTGCGCTGAAGGAAAGGGGGCTGCGGAGGAAGAGGAGGAAAGAGGAGGAGGGGGCTGGCGATGCGGGCCAGGCTGTAGTGGGGGTTGGAGGGGAGGCCGAAAGCGGCTTGGCCGGGCGATGCCCCTCGCCGCAGCCCGCCCCGAGCATGGAGAAGTCGAGTAGCGAAGACTCCTCCATCCGCCGGAGCCCTTCCTTGGAGAGCAAAGACTCGGATTTCGCCAAAGCCTCGCCGACGGGCAAGCGCTTCAACCGGGGTTTCACGGCCGGAGCTTTCTACGGCACGGCCGGACCTCGCCGGCAAGGCCGACCGGGCTCAGGTGCCGGTGCGCCCGCGGGCGCCGGCTTGCAAAGGGACGAGCCCCGCAACGACGCCCGCAACGCCAATGCCGCCGCCAACAGCAGCAGCAGCAGCAGCAAATACCTGGTTTTTTACCTGGATCTATCCTTTGTTTTCCTCCTAGAGTTTAAGAAGTGCAGCATGGCCAGGGGCTGCTTGTGCTGCCTGAAATACATGATGTTCCTTTTCAATTTGATCTTTTGGGTGAGTAAAAAAGCCCCGTGGGGTTGTTTCCCCCCCCCTCTTTTTTCCCCCCCACCTGTCTCTTCTGCAGGGATTAAAACACCCCCCCCTTCCTTTTCCACTTTCTCCTGACTTGCACTGGACAATCCCAGCTGGGATTGACTGGGGTTTGTGGGATGGGGGGATGGCAGCTTTTTTGGGAAATTGTGGCATTTATGGGGAATTGTGGCATTTGGGGGGGGGGGAGGTCTTGAGTGTGTTTCCTTTTTTTTTTTTCCCCTACCTGTCTCTTCTGCAGGGATTAAAACACCCCCCCCTTCCTTTTCCACTTTCTCCTGATTTACATTGGACAATCCCAGCTGGGATTGACTGGGGTTTGTGGGATGGGGGGATGGCAGCTTTTTTGGGAAATTGTGGCATTTATGGGGAATTGTGGCATTTGGGGGGGGGGGAGGTCTTGAGTGTGTTTCCTTTTTTTTTTTTCCCTACCTGTCTCTTCTGCAGGGATTAAATACCCCCCTCCCTTCCACTTTCTCCTGACTTTCACTGGACAATCCCAGCTGGGATTGACTGGGATGGAATGGCAGCTTTTTTGGGAAATTGTGGCATTTTGGGGGGGGTCTTTGAGTGTGTTTCCTTTTTCCCCCCCTACCTGTCTCTTCTGCAGGGATTAACCCCCCCCTGTCCCCCCCACACTCTCTCCTTCCTTTCCCCTGACTTTTGCTGGACAATCCCAGCTGAGATTGACTGGGGCGGGGGATGGGGGAATGGCGCTTTTGGGGGGAATTGTGGCATTTTGGGGGGAATTGTGGCATTTGGGGGGGCGGTCTTGAGTGTATTTCCTTTTTCCCCCCACTATCTGTCTCTTCTGCAGGGATTAAATACCCCCCCTCCCTTCCACTTTCTCCTGACTTTCACTGGACAATCCCAGCTGGGATTGACTGGGATGGGGGAATGGCAGCTTTTTTGGGAAATTGTGGCATTTTGGGGGGGGGTCTTTGAGTGTGTTTCCTTTTTCCCCCCCTACCTGTCTCTTCTGCAGGGATTAAATCCCCCCCTCTCCCCCCCACACTCTCTCCTTCCTTTCCCCTGACTTTTGCTGGACAATCCCAGCTGAGATTGACTGGGGCGGGGGATGGGGGAATGGCACTTTTGGGGGGAATTGTGGCATTTTGGGGGGAATTGTGGCATTTGGGGGGGCGGTCTTGAGTGTATTTCCTTTTCCCCCCCACTATCTGTCTCTTCTGCAGGGATTAAATACCCCCCTCCCTTCCACTTTTTCCTGACTTTCACTGGACAATCCCAGCTGGGATTGAGTGGGGTTTGGGGGATGGGGGGATGGCAGCTTTTTTGGGGAATTGTGGCATTTTGGGGGGGGTCGTCTAGAGTGTGTTTCCTTTTTTTTCCCCCTACCTGTCTCTTCTGCAGGGATTAAATACCCCCACTCTCCCCCCACACTCCTTCCTTCCTTTCCCCCTGACTTTCGCTGGACAATCCCATCTGAGATTGACTGGGGTGGGGGATGGGGAATGGCACTTTTGGGGGAATTGTGGCATTTTGGGGGGAATTGTGGCATTTTGGGGGGAATTGTGGCATTTGGGGGGAATTGTGGCATTTGGGGGGGAGATCTTGAGTGTATTTCCTTTTTCCCCCACTATCTGTCTCTTCTGCAGGGATTAAATACCCCCCTCCCTTCCACTTTCTCCTGACTTTCACTGGACAATCCCAGCTGTGGGTGGGGGATGGGGAAATGGCACCATTTGGGGGAATTGTGGCATTTTGGGGGGGGTGTCTTGAGTGTATTCCGTGTTTTTTTGTACCTCTCTTCTGCAGGGATTAAGCACCCCCTCCCTTCCACTTTCTCCTGACTTTCACTGGACAATCCCAGCTGGGATTGGATGGGGTGGCGGATGGGGGAAAATGGCAGCTTTTGGGGGGATTGTGGCATTGGGGGGGGGGTCTTGAGTGTATTTACTTTTTTTCCCCTACCTGTCTCTTCTGCAGGGATTAAACCCCCCCTCTCCCCCCACACTCTCTCCTTCCTTTCCCCTGACTTTCACTGGACAATCCCAACTGAGATTGACTGGGGCGGGGGATGGGGGAATGGCACTTTTGGGGGGAATTGTGGCATTTTGGGGGAATTGTGGCATTTGGGGTTCTTGAGCACCCTGCTTTTTCCTCTGCTTGCTTGCTTCTGCAGGGATTAAAACAACCCCCCCCCATTCCTTGCTCTTGAGGTTCCCTTGACAATCCCAGAATCGCAGCCTGGATTTGATTGGGGGGGGACAGTTGGGGGGGGAATGGCACCTTTTGGGGAGGGATGGCATTTGGGGGTTCTTGAGTACCCCATTTTTTCTTCTTCTACCTGTCCCTTCCGCAGGGAGAAATCCCCCCCCTCCCCACATGCCCCCAGCCTCTCCCTCTTTTCCCCTGACTCTTCCTTGACAATCCCTGCCTGGATTTCCTTTGGGGAGAGGGCGTAAAAGCACCTTTTGAGGAGGTGGGGAGCGTTTGGGGTTCTTGAGTACCCCGTTTATTTCCCCTCTACCTACCTACTTCTGCAGGGACCTCCGGCTCCCAGTCTTTCCTGACTTTACTTGAGAATCCCAGCCTGGATTTGCTGTGTGTGGGGGGGGAAGAAGGCACCTTTTGGGGAGGTGTGGCATTTTGGGGGTTCTTGAGTACCCCGTTTTTTCCTTCTACCTGTCTCTTCTGCAGGAGGAACTCCTCCCCCTTGTCCTTTCTCCTGACTTTACAGTCCCAGCCTGGACTTGCTGTGTGTGTGTGTGGGGGGGGAGGTGTGTGGCATTTTGGGGGGTTCTTGAGTACCCCGTTTTTTTACCTCTACCTGCCCCTCCCCTTCTCAGTCTCTCCCTTCCTTTCCCCTGACTCTCCCTTGACAATCTCAGCCTGGATTTGCTGAAGAGGGTTGCCCCCCTCCACCCCAAAGGCAGATTTCAGACAGGTTTGGGCGTTTTGGGGTTCTTTTTGTGTGTGTGTGTGGGAACGGACGAGGGGCAGGCCTTCTGCTTTTAAGAATAGCGAGACTTTCCCAAGAGGGAATATTTTGGCATGGTGATCCCTCCTGCTTGGGTATTCTGTCCAAAAGCCAAACTGCACCCCCAGCTTGGGTCTGCTTATGGGGATCCCTCCCCGAAGAAAAAGCCCCCTCCCCAAAAGTGACTCTGCAAGGAGGAAAGTATAGGCTGCTTTCTCTCTCTCCCCCTCTCCCCCTCTCCCAAGAGGCTGTTGCGGCTTTTGTGTTACCCTTCCCCAGCATTGCTTCCGGAGACCCTGTAATTTGCTGATCCAAGAGAAGCCGGCTCCCAGCACATGTTTTCTCTCCGTGGGCCGCCCATAAGGATGATGGAGAAAGCCCCACCAGCCACCAGAACTGGTGGCAATTACGCAACACCCCCCCACCCCCAAAGGTCTCCATGGGGAGAGGCCAGTTCCTTCTTTTAAAAGTGTCTCCCGATGACAGAAGATTTTTTTAAAAAATTTGATTTATATGCCGCCCTTCTCCGGAGACTCAGGGCGGCTTACAATGCGTTAAGCAATAGCATTTATTTTATTTATTTATTTATTTATTTATTTATTTATTTATTTATTTATTTATTTATTTATTTATTTATTTATTTATTTATTTTTATTATTTATCTCCTTGTGGCATATTTCATTTTATTAAATTTGGCAGTTTGGATGGTATCAAAAGCCGGGAGCCCTCTTTCCTCATTCCAAACCCGTTAATTGCAAAACTGATAAAAAGGGGCACTCTTGCCAATCTGGCTAAAAGTTTCTTTTGTATTGTTTTATAGTTTGGGTCGAATGAGAATCCGGAGAGATTTTCCTTCCTTAGCAGCTGGCTAAATCCCCTGCCCAATTGACCTACTTTTTATTTTTATTATTATTATTTTTTTCCAAAGGCCAGATGGATGAGAAAGGACAGTCTTTCTGAATCAGATCCTTTAATAGTACACAAGGGAGGTGGGGGGTGGGGTGGGGGGTGGCCGAAATCTACTTCCAAGCGAACGTTCCCCGTAGATTTCAGCCTTGCCTGACTCACTATTCCTTCATTCCCACCCACCCCCCCCCCCAGATCCCAAAGCATTCCTTTCCAAAGCCCGCTCGTAATAGCCTTCCTAGACTTCAAGGATGTGTCTATCAAGCTATCTCTGGCCACAGAATTGTTTGGTGCAATGCTACAATGCAGTTTTGAAAGAGGGGGGGGGAACCCCATGTGGGTTTGTTCATCTTTTTTTTTTACACCTCCTGGGCTGCCTTTGCTTGCTCCGACAGTCTGCAGATGGGTGTGATTTTCCTGCCCGATAACACAAATTATATTACTTTACTGACTTGTATAGTGCTTTGGTGACACACATTAAGTGGCGGACAACCAGCAATGCAGAATTAAAAACTTGCAGTATATATTACGTGTAAAGGTAGCAAACGTATAACAGGTAGTCCTTTTTTTTTTTTTTTAAATTTGATTTATATGCCGCCCTTCTCCGGAGACTCAGGGCGGCTTACAATGCGTTAAGCAATAGTCCTTGACTTAACGACCACAATTAAAGCCCAAGGTTTCTGTTGTTAAGTAAGTGAAACATCTCTTCAGTGAGTTGTGCCCCGTTTTATGACATTTCTTGCCCGCCGTTGCTAAGTGAATCACTGAGATTGTTAAGTTGGTAACACCGTCGTTGAGCAAATCTGACTTCCGCATTGACTTCGCTTGTCAAAAGGACACAGAAAGGCGATCACGTACACAGCCGCCGTCGTAAGTCCGAACCTGTTGTCAAACATCCAGATTTTGTTCACACGCTGCGACGGTCGTAAGTGTGAAAAATGTTCACAAGTCCCCCTTTTCCCCCCCCAAGCCTGTTGTAACTTTGAATGGTCACTAAAACGAAATGTCGTAAGTCGAGGACCAGCTGTACTGGTTCTGTTTAATTTATGCAGGCCAATAATCAGGCCTAGTCCTATATTAATCACAGCAAATTACCAGATCTAAACTCATCAAAAATTCAGGATGTCAGCATCTATCTTATACTGGTGATTGGCCTCCCAAGGTCTTCTGAAGTAATTAGATGTTGATAGGCTTTTATAAAGCCAAAAGAACAGAATAACAAGAGTTGGAAGGGACCTTGGAGGTCTTCTAGTCCAACCCCGCTGTTCAAACAGGAGACCTTATACCATTGGAGACAGGTGGCTGTCCAGTCTCTTCTGAGGGAGGGGTCCATTCCAGAGGTGGGTTCCAGCAGGTTCTGACCAGTTCTGGAGAACCGGTAGCGGAAATTTTGAGTAGTTCGGAGAACCGGTAGTAAAAATTCTGATTGGCCCCGCCCCCATCTATTCTCTGCCTCCCGAGTCCCAGCTGATCGGGAGGAAATGGGGATTTTGCAGTATCCTTCCCCTGGAGTGGGGTGGGAATGGAGATTTTACAGTATCCTTCCCCTACCATGCCCACCAAGCCATGCCACGCTCACCAAGCCACACCCAAAGAACCGGTAGCAAAAAAATTTTGAAATCCACCACTGGGCTCCATTCTTAAGCCCATAGAGAGAGAATAGGTAGTCCTCGACTTACAACAGTTCATTTAGTGACCATTCAAAGTTACAAGGACATCGAAAAAAAGTGACTTATGACCGTTTTTCACGGTTACGACCTTTGTGGCATTCCCATGATCGTGTGACCAAAATCCAGAAACTTAGCAGTTGCTCCATACTTACGACCGTTGCTGTGTCCTAATGTCATGCGATTCCTTTTTGCGACCTTCTCACAAGCAGATTCAGATTCACTTAACAACCATGTTGCTAATAACGGCAGTGATTCCCTTAACAACTGTGGCAAGAAAGCTCGTAAAACGGGGCAAAACTCACTCCGCAGACGTCTCACTTGGCGACAGAAATTTTTGGGCTCCGTCGTCGTCGTAAATTGAGGACTATCTGTACCTAACTCCCAAGTCAAGCCAGTGTAGGTTTTGCATTTTTTTGCAGCACTGTTAAAAGTGGTAAGGATAAGCCTGAGCTGTAAGCAAACAGCACCAGCTGTAGTTTCTGAATAGTCTTCAAGGGAAACCCAAGTAGAGTGGATTACAGTAGTCTAAGCCAGAAGGAATAAAAGCAGGCTTGACTCTCCAGTGACTGCTGTTCTACCAAAAACTGCAAATTAGCCAAAATTAGGACAAAAGAATCTTCTGGTTATGGTGCCCATCCACCTTTCAGCAGAAGCTGTGGTCCAGGGGGATCCTAAATTGTGGACTCCCTCCTGGAAGGAGGAAAATTCCATCTAGAGGCAGATGTGACCCCCATCCCAGAAGCAGCATTCCTTCACGCTGAGCCTCTCCCCTACCCCCCATCCAGGCATGACAGCTTTCAGACATCCGATCAAGACTACTTCTTGCTCTTCCTGTACAAGCCATGATGGACATGTTGATGGTACCTAATTGATGGATGACCTTCCTTGAAAGTTTCATGTCAATGCAAAACTGGGAAGGACAGAGTTTTGAGCTCTTGGGTACCCCACAGTGAAATACCCCAAAGCTTCACTCACCTCCCCCCATCATAACTAATTATTAAAGGTAAAAGTTCCCCTCGCACATATGTGCTAGTCGTTCCCGACTCTAGGGGGCAGTGCTCATAGACGTTTCAAAGCCAAAGAGCCAGCGCTGTCCGAAAACGTCTCCGTGGTCATGTGGTCGGCATGACTCAACGCCAAAGGTGCACGGAACGCTGTTCTCTTCCCACCAAAAGTGGTCCCTATTTTTCTACTTGCCTTTTTTACCTGCTTTCGAACTGCTAGGTTGGCAGAAGGTGGGACAAGGAATGGGAGCTCACCCCGTTAAGCGGCACTAGGGATTCGAACCGCTGAACTGCCGACCTTTCGATCGACAAGCTCAACGTTTTAGCCACTGAGCTACTGCGTCCCTACAACTAATTATTAGGATTACAACTAATTATTAGGACCCCCTTAAAAAGGAGACACCATTTCCAATCCTTACAAGAAGTCCAGAAGGACGTGAAATTTTGCTGTCTCCAGGACCTTCAAGAAGTCCATGTCATTGAGGGTAGCTCCATCCAAACCCCTCTCTGAGTCCTTGGAACCAGTATAAATCCAAGAAGGAACAGCTGTGCTTACAACTGGTGGAATCTCTATCTAAAACAATTTCTGCTTCTCAGTTTAAAATACCCTTAAGGGTCAAATTAAACATCTAAAGGATTTATGGGGGTAAGGGGTTGTCCACAGTTCACACATTCACTTTACAGCCTATTATGCACCAGATTGCCAAATTTGGCCCACGAACTCGCCTATCTAATCAACAGAAGCTGATTTTTATGCGGGCAGCTCTTTTAATTGCCCCCAAATGAACACTACTACAACTGTATGCATGTATCGATCTGTTGGCCACCATCCACTGATCTCTTCTTGTCAAAAACTCTCGACAGTTTTTTTTCTTAAAAATCCACACTACCCAATGTGCGGAAGTTGCCTTCAGAAAAGAATGTAGGTTTGTGAAAGTTCTACAATTTTTTTTTTTAAAAGTGTGATTGGAAGGGGAATGTGCATTTTTAAAGTCTTGTTAGGAAAATGCATTTCTAAATGATTTTAAATTAATCAAAAATGACTCTAAATTAATCAAAATTTCATAAACATGAGATAGGATGGAATACTGCCCTATTAATAGGAACAGTAATGTCAGGCGCAAACAATTGGGTTCACACAAGATGTTTGCACCTGGGTAAAACTAGATATGGTTGAATAGCACACTTTCCTTCTTGTGTCCATGGTCTTCAAATTTGGCAGCTTTAAGACTTGTGGACTTTAACTCCCAGAATTCTCCAGCCAGCTATGCTGGCTGGGGAATTCTGGGAGTTAAAGTCCACAAGTCTTAAAGCTGCCAAATTTGAGGACCGTTGATATAGAGATTCCAGACTAATTCCCTGCTTGACTCCTCCTCCTGGCTCCCCCAGTCTCTAACAAGTAGGATTGGACTACTAAACATTAGAAGTGGATTTATCTTGACCCTCTTGTGAATCTATATATTTCAATCTCACTGAAATAGATATCCATTAGCTGAGCTAATAGATATACATTAGCTGAGGAATTAACTTCAGAATCTGTTGCAAAGTAAACAGATGACAGCATTTTAAAAAAAATCAGAAGATAACTATTTTACTGAAAATATTGTGTGTACACATTACCGGAGAATGTACTTCGTAAATATTAAATGCAGCATTTTGCATTTTTGGAATATGTGTTATCAGCAGGGTGGAGACTTAACTGTAGCATCCAGCTAGCATGGGAAGCATCTCTCTGAGAAATATTTGAATCGGGCTATAAAAGTCCCAGATTTTCTTTTTTTTTCATTTTCATTTCATTTATTGGATATTACTCCCGAAGGACTCAGGGCAGTGAACA